GCAAGTTCTTTTCCATAAGCACGTATGACTATATTCGGAATACATGCCTACATTACATTGATGAACTGGAGCTAGTTCTGTGTCACCCTATGTTATAACTGTTGCATGAGGAATCACATCCGACATAATTATCCATCACTGATCCAATGCCTACGAGCTTTTCACATATTGATCTTTGCTTAGTTAATTTTCCGTTGCCACTGTTACGCTTGCTACAAAACTAATACTGTTACCCTACTATCATATTACCTTGCCACTAAATACTTTGCTGCAGATATTAAGTTTTCCAGGTGTGGTTGAATCGACAACTCCGCTGCTAATACTTGAGAATATTCTTTGGCTCCCCTTGTGTTGAATCAATAAATTTGGGTTGAATACTCTACCCTCGAAAACTGTTGCGATCCCCTATACTTGTGGGTTATCAGTGGCCGGTAGCGGCAACTGCGGCGAGCAAGACGGTGGTCGAAGCCATGGGCAACGACGACTACGGCTGAGTTGTTGGGTACGTTCGGCTCCTCGGAGCAGCGCGAGCACGAGGGCGTGCTCAGACGCGAGCTATGGCGTCAGTAGCCATGGTGGCACCATGGCCGGCAGCGGTGAAGTCTCGGGCTTAGTTAACATGACGGCTACGACGTGCAATCCACGCGAGGAAGAGAAGGGATCAGAGTGGAATCTCATAGGGAGATCGTTGAGCAGCTCAGCGCGCTCGGGAGAGGCCGGATGGCGACGTGGCATTGCCGGTGATCTCCGAGGCCGAAGGTTGAAGACGACGGCATTGACGGCGAAGCAGGGCGCCCGACAATGCATGGCTCGGCGAAGAAGTCGGGGAAGTTGTTGTGGAGCTCAGGGGCAGCATGGGGATCGCAGTGGCCACGGGGTTCACGGTTGTGAGCTCGCGGGCACTTCGGCCATGGCGAAGATCAGCGAGGGAGAGGGCGAGGGGGGGAGTCATGGGGTCAGCTCGATCTAGACGGCAATGCGACGCTCCGCGGCGTCGGTGAGGCAGGCAGGCTGCTGGTGGTGTGGCGCACGTGTGTGTGTGTGTGTGTGCGCGCGCGCGCGCACGCGCTCTGCCTACTGGCCTGAAGAGGAAGATGACTGGAGGAGGTTGTGGTGGGCTGGGACAGGCAGCTACAGTGCTGGGCCGCACAGTAGGGTGCCAGGTGAGTCTCTCTCTCTCTGTTTTCTATTTCTGTTTTCTATTTTGACTTAATTATTTTGCCATTGTTTGAAAATCAAATGATTTCAAGCCAATGCCAACAATTCCTCTGGATATTTTTATGTTGCACATTGGACATTTCCAAATGCACATAAAATATTTCAGGGATTTTGGAAATATATTCTACATATTATGAATATAATTTCAAATGCAAATACAATAATGATTTAAATCCAGTGCCCAAAATATTGCATAAAAGTGTTCACTATTTTTGGTTTGGACACAGTGCCTTGCCAAAATTACCAAACATTGATGAAGGGCATTTTGGGTTCATTGAATGAAGTTTTAAGGTTCTTTGCTCTTATGAAAATAATTTCTGAGGCTTTGAACATTCCTCAATTCAAATTTCTTGAATTTAATATGATGCATGATGCTCACTGATGGAACTATTTACACTCAAATATTTTAGGGCTGTGACACTAAGTTTCGGAATTGGCATGTGAAAGTGCATTTGTTCCTAAATTGTTTTTTTTGGTATGATGACAATGTGGTTAGTGCAACTGAAGATGGTTATTAAAGTTTATCACAGGTCATTGGTTCCTCAGATGTTATTTTAGGAGATGGTTGACCTCCACTTCAAAGGGGAAAAGGCGTGGTCGCTCGTTAAGCTATCCCTTAGTCTCACCTTATAAAGGATTATGAGACCTAGGGTTACAAGGATCCCAACCGAGTTATGCATGGTTGGTTGTAGGGGTTCGCAACTTGTCCTCCAAGGCACATTAGTTAGTCTCCGACGGGCCTCCTACTCCAGCGAGAGGCCTGCATGAACAGTGTGGCCCCCTAGCCCATGGAGCTGGCCCACCATATGGAACACCTCCCAAGCATCCTCAAGAGCTCATGTTTGGCGCCTTAAGTGCCAAGCTGCCCAAGTGGCGCTCATGCACCTCCTCACGTGGGCCGGCCCAACATGCGAATTCCTGACTCGCTCAGTTTGACATGTTGATTCTAAAAACAAGGTTGGATAGGTTGATGAGTTGACTGTTTGACTCTTCACCATTTGGTTGTTCGACAGTTGACGGTTGACTTCTCCAAAAAAGTTCATGAAATTGGAAAAGACGCAAATTCACAAGAAAAAAACTTCACACATTTAAAGAAAATTAATCGTTTTGAAAAAGATTCACAAATTCAAAAAAAATTGCAACTTTCAAAAGTTCATGAATACGAAAAAAAATTATGGAATTGAAAGAAGTTCAAGAATTTCAAAAAATGCACGCCAATTTATAAAATGTTCATGAATTTTAGAAAGGTTCATGGATTTTCAAGAATTTCAAGAGTTTAAACAAAATATACGCGAATTCGAAAAAATCAAAAATATGAGAAAAGTTCACAAATTTGATAAAATATAAAAATGAAAAATAACGAAATTAAAATTAAAACTAAAAACAAAAAGGAAAAAACAAAAAAAAATACAACCTGGAAAACCCTAGAGAAATCTGCCCGATAAAATACCGATGTGACCTTCTAGATTGTTCCCAAAACCAGTGTGGAAAAAACTAGGCCGGCTCATATAGGAACTATCATCGTTAGTTGGGGTGGTCGCCCGATATTTCTGGCTGCACGGTGACTGTGTGGGCAGAAACTAGTGTGGAAAAACCAGTGTGGAAAAACCCTAGAAAACTGGCTGCGCAGTGACTGTGTGGACAGAAACTAGTTCGCCCACACGGCGCAGCTAGCAACCACATGTTTGCGGATTGTTTGGGCGAACACTTCAACGCCCACACATACGATGATGCGTGGCACTGAAAATCTAACAGACTCGTTTAGAATTCGTGTAAAACAGAATCAACATGTATCGTGTGGGCAAAATGCAAACATTCTACACGTGTGAGCGTTATCATTTAGGTAAATGAAATCAGTGCACCAATTTGATGTTGTCTTTCCTGTTTTCTTCCGACGTATTTCCTATTAGATACATGCTGCGTTGAACTGTCGATCCAACACACAGGCGCAAGCGACCGGCCGTGCAGATTGGGTCCACCCATTTAACGGTAGCACAAATAGTCCGGTTTTAGAAACCTTCCAAAAGATTTTGTTCAGCTTTTACTAGGTTTTTCCTGTTGTTTTCCTACTGGTTTTCTTTTGGTTTTATATTTTTCTCTTCTTTTTCTTTCTTTCATAATTCATAAGTTTTAAAAAAATCAAAACCATAAAGTTTGAATTTTCAAAATTTTGTTCACATTTTTTAAAAATGGATTCTTTTCAAAGATTAGAATCTTCAAAAAAATGTTGAAAAATTCAAAACTATTTTTTAAACCAAAAAAATCAGAGTCTCAAAATATTGTTCATGTTTTTCAAATTTCTTCATTTTTTTTAATATGAAATTTTCATAAAAATGTCCACTTTTTTCAGAAATTGTTTAGAATTTGAAAATTGTTCACCATTTTGAAGAAATGGTTGAAATTAAAAAGAACAGTATTTTCCAAAAAAATGTCAAGATGTGTACAAATTGTTCACTTTTCCATTAGAGTGGTCACAAACTGAATAAAATTTGTGTTTTCAAAAAATGTTCACTTTTTCCAAAATGTGGTTGCAGATTTTTGAATGACTACTACAGTAAACCACGCGCTGCAGTACTCGCCTCGCTAGAGCAACCTGTCCCGATACAGTGAAACGCTACGGTGCCCCCGCACCGCTGCCTTTTTTAGCAACAAGTGCTACTAGATTCTGCCAACGGGCCGGTCCAGTAGGAGTTTGGGCTTGTCCGGCCCAACTAGCCCATGGACGGTACCAGAGAGAGAGAGAAAGAGAGAGACTGGTGTTCATACCCTTTGTGCATGGCGTCGTTGTCAAGCCTCGGATACATACATTTTGGAATAAAATGGAGCTTTTACCCTGAAAGGGATGTGCGTGCATGCGTCCATCACAAGCCTACCTAATCATCCATATCCAGTCCCTCCATCTTTCACGTATGCGTCCCATCCGGGCATTACTATTAGTTAGAGTCATTTGTTCAAGTTGCATGCGTCGACATGCATGCATGCTTCCACTAAGTAAACTGTACTCCCCTGCCTTTCGCTAGCCAATATCCATCTTAAAATATTTTTCTGGTGAGCTTACGCTTGCGTCAGCTTGTCGGCGAGCAAGCACGAAATACAATATGGCGCTATAAACGATAGAAAGAAAATCCCAGCCCACTTCGATCCAATTCCGTGGAAAGCATATACGCATGCATGGGGCAATCGAGCATGCCTGGGTTGAAATTCAGGTCCAAATGACTGCTTTTAGTTTCAGATCTGAGTCAAGAGTTGAATTTCCTCCGTGACAGCGACCTGGATGTGTACATGTATGCCTCTCAGAGAACACGCACACATGGATATCAAACGAGGTAAGCATGCATACATGGTTCTTCACTGCTCCTGGATGGAGATGGAGCAAAGCAAAACGACGACACTCATGGTTGCAAGTGCGGAGCTTTTATCATTAGCAACACCAGATCGAGAGACACACGTACGTAAAGCCAGCATGCATGCATGCATTACATCCTGATGACCCATCGAGCCTTTCTTTATCCTCCTAGTCTTTAGTGCCGAAATTCAAAGGAACAAAGCAAGAGAAATCAAGAAAAGAAGAGATATAAAAAAGGAAGCACTATTGGCTATGTACGTGGCGTGAAAACGATCGGGCGCAAAGCAAGCGCTTGAATATTGGCACTACGTACGACTACGCGTGCGTGCATGCATGCAATGCATGGGTGCATGACACGGCAGCATGCACATCAACTGACGGAGCGGCAAAAATAGTTCTTCCCTTCACGTACGGTCGATCGATCGGTCTCGCATCATCAGTTGACGGCCTTGGCGCCGCCGCCGGAGTTGTAGCAGAAGTGGCGGTGGAACTCGCCGCCGATGCAGCACTTGAGCCTCAGGAAGCTCGGCTCCTTGGGGACGGTGAGGGGCCTCCTCGACCTGCACGCACGTCAACGTCACAATTTCATTCAATCGCCATATTCCATGTATGTCCATCTTTGTTCCTTGAATATATACTCTAGCACTGAATTAATCAATCATATCGCTAACTGCTTGTTAACTACTAGCCCCCCACTTTGTGTACTACTACGTACCAAAAAAACAAATTAAAGCTAGCATATGTATATCCATCCACTAGTTTTCTTTAAGTATATGCTATGTTTTGTTCCTTCATTAATGTCCACATTCTGTTCCACACCTAGTGTTAGATCGAGTGACCCACTTATTAGCCGATTGATTAATGATAAGTTTGCTCAACAATATCAGCGGGACAGGTTAATGATATGATCAGTTATGTGTGTGATAATTGCCTTTGTGGGTGGAATGGCTTGTCAAATGCTGGCATAAGTTGGGCCTTTGGAACCATCTCCTTCCTCATCATCTTGATCTCACGCTCCTCCATCACCTATTGGTAAAAGAAACCTGTTTATTATATGACCCAACCAAATAGACAAAACATATATGCCTCCGAAATGTGTTATTCACCTGCGATAACTTGTCCTCAAATCTCCGAATAATTTCCTCTGTATTTATCTTGCTTGCAATCTGTAAGTTTCTCAAGCTTATTAGTTTCTCAAAGTAGAGGTATATAAGGATCATTGTTATGGCAAAGTGAATGTGCATCTCTATAACCTGGTAATTGTAACCAGCTCGCCTTATTGCCCGCTCCTCGGTGTGAAGCCTGCAGTAGCTCAGTGGCTGCTCGTGTTTTGTCGATCTCTGATGCAAAATTCATATGAAACTTTCAGGCCACTCGTCTGCATCTTTTAACCAATTTGTGCTACATCTGTTTGGTTTAATTAATTATCTCTGTAAAAGCTTGAAATGAACCTTGGGTGAGGTTTGTAAAGTTGGTGAACGGCGTTTGCTCTCATCATGAGTTGCCGAGTCTTGACCGCCTTTACGGAAGTTCTGCTGCTCATTTTTTGGTCGTGCCTGAAAAGGACGTACTGAGATAATTAGCTTAAACATATTTGGAATCGTAATTTATATAGAAATCATAAAAGTACCCCTATGAAAATGCTTTCATAGGGAAAGACCCTAGCTGGTTAGATGAAATGAGATGTTGCACCCCTAAAAGTTCTCAGTCCCATCTCTTTAGTGTACGTACTAAAGAGATGTCACTGTCAAAAAAGAAAAGAAGAGATGCGCTACATTCCTACAAATTTATTACCTCGGTGACGTTCTTCTTATGAGGAGGGGACCCTCCACTCCTTGCTGGGCTTTTTGGACCTGAACTAGTTGATGAGGTCTGCAGGAAACAAATAACAACTTTTAAAATCAAGCATAACAAATTAACTCCAATAAAAGTTCAGATTAAGAAAACTATAAGATAAGTATTTTTTTAAACCGTGAGTGACACACCATAAATATGTGCAAGCCGACAAGCAAAGCGTAGCTTGCCTTGACCACTTGGACAGTTATAGAAAAAGTAGGGAAAATGAAACCCAAGCTAACCCAATATCGCCAGGGGCTTGCTTGGAAAGCCTTTAACTAACTTGAAAGTAACTGACATGTATACAAAATGACGTACGTGTAACTAGAAAAGATCAAGCTAGACATGCAATATACTTATTAATAACTACAACTAGTGGAAGAATTTGCATGTTCAAGGCGAAGTCGATCTTAAGCTAGCTTTCACCCATATGCTAGAACCAAAATGCTCTGCAAATGACAGCCAAATGTTTCCATGATCAATGCACGTCTAAGGGCCAGAAACCAAGTCCCAGCTGATGAACCCTAGCTTAGCTAGAACAGCAGAGGCAATAGGATGCGTGCTTGCATGCATTGTTATTTCCTAACTAACCTTAGGGGAGGTGGCCTTCCTTGCCTTCTCCATCTCTCTAGCCATGGATGAGCTCTCTCTGTCTCTCTCTCTCTCTCTAACACGAACACTACGATGTGCCGAATGCAAGCTGGAACATAATGGTGGATGGCTTAGGCAACCAATAGTTGCACCATTTTATAGAACTTAGCTAGCCCAGCACCACGAATGCATGCGCAACACACCTCTTTCTTTCTAGCTAGCTAAGAGACAAGTGGGATATGGTGGTAGGTTTCAAGCATAGCTTAGCTTAGCTTAGCTAGATAGTGTGCCACTTCACCAGCCATCTATTCCATTCCATTCAGGGTTCCTTCAAGAGGCCTCTAAGCCCACGTCCAAATCACCCAGTACACGCTTTCAGCATATATCATATATCATCAGCAGTGTGCATGTATGACTGTGTGTGTGTGTCTGTGTGAGAGTGTCTTGTCACTCGCTACCAACCATGGGTTGAGCCATAGCCATCAGCCAAGGGAACCAGGCTAACAAACTTCTCCGGCTGCTTTATTTGAGGTGGGACTGAAACCTCCATCTCTCACTCTCTGGGGTTGGTTATGCATGGGACTGAAACTTCTCGTCGCACGCACTCAGTGGTCGCGGCACATCTCATCGCAGATTCTTCGGGGGTGTATCGAGGAAGCGAGCTTGAAGAAGCCATGGATAGAGGCAGGCATTCTGTGAGGTTGCTAGCTTGCCAGGTTAACTGGCTCCTGGCTTGAGGCTGACACTTGCAACAACCTTAACGTTGCCTAGGCAACAGACTCATCCTGTTTGCACGCGTAGCCATGATTGTTGTGTCTCATCTTTTTGGCATATTCACGACATTCTAGATGTGTGCTATTTTCTGCATGCATTTTATCTTTTATGGCAGCTATGCTACCTGCGGCACAGCATTACTATGCGTAGTGATCAAGTAACTGGCTTAGTTAGTCCTACACTACATGCATGCTCTGTTTTGCTACCTCCAGCTAGCTGGTTCTAATTTGGTGCTTAGGCAGTATAGCTTCATATTTCGCACATAATTAGGTTGTACGTAGAATAACTTACTTTAATTTGCATCCATGGTTTCTTTTAACGCGTTGTTAATTTATTAGGATTTTACGTCGAATTTACAAATAGTTATATTTATGTCGGATACGGATAGCAATGTAAAAATCGGCCGAAGAAAACTTAATTTGTCCGATATTACTCCACGCAGTTGTGTAGATCAAGGCTCGCCATGTATGCTCTTGAACCGGTTAGTTTTTGTTCTCATCTTAGCTGATCGGCTGTAGCCCAAGTTGGACCGTGTTCTTCATTAAATTCCGTTCAACTACTGCTAACCTTTGTTTCTCTTGGCTAACCCAATAATTGTTTTATACTTATAATAATTAATAAATAATAGTAGTTGTCGAGGTCTCGTAGCTCGGTTAGAGCGACGGTCCGATGTACCGTAGGTCGAAGGTTCAAGCCCTTCCGAGATCATTATACTTTTATTATTTAATACTCCCTCCGTTTTTATTTACTTCGCATATTAGCTTTGGTCAAAGTCAAACTTTATAAACTTTGACAAAGTTTTTAGACAAAAATATTAACATGTACAATAACAAATCAATCACATTAGATTCATTGTTGAATACACTTTCACATCGTATAGATTTGCTATTGTAAATGTTCATACTTTTTTCTGTAAAATTGGTCAAAGTTTATGAAGTTTGACTTCAGTCAAACCTAATATGCAGAGTAAATAAAAATGGAGGGAGTATAATATAATTGTTTTATATTTAATAATTAATAAATAGTAGTTATTGCCAAGGTCTCGTAGCTTAGTTGGTTAGAGCGATGGTCCGATGTACCGTAGGTTGATGGTTCAAGCCCATTCGAGACCAATAATTTTTTATTATGGCACAATAAGCTTATGTAATACTCCCTCCGTCCCAAAATTCTTGTCTTAGATTTGTCTAGATACGGATGTATCTAATATTAAAACGTGACTTGATACATCTGTACTTAGACAAATTCAAGACAAGAATTTTGAGACGGAGGGAGTACTATAAAACCGGCGCTGACATGCAGGCCAGCAGCAGCAGAGATTGTGGCACAATAAACTTAAATGCATTTTATATGTATCTGTCTCGCTGACATGCGGGCCAGCAGCACTTCATTTTACATCTGTAGGCCTAGGCCTAGCTATATATATCCAGTTCTATTCTAAAAATAATAAAGTGGGAGATTTCAGCATATATATGCATGAATTGAAAGGCTAACGGAACGGCGATCGTGTTGCATGCGTATCCGGCCATCTTGCATCAATCTACGTCGCGCTCGATTTCGTTATTTTCAGGCCGATTGATCGATCGATTCCTTATGTTCCAAGGTATGATGACGAATATTGCTTTCTCTCTCTCTCTC